TAAATAGATTTTATATAAATAAAATGCAAAAGACATATATGTCATTATCTAATTTGCTTGGATTCAATCACAAAATTCATATAAAACCTTTTATATCTTGAAATCCAGAAATTCAAAAATTATAAAAATGTAGTCGTAAGGTTGTTTATCTTGTATATGACACTTAGGCGAAAACAATTTGAAAAATATGTCATACGACTCGAAAAATAAATTTATGCACGCACATATTCATTTCTTAAGAAATTGCAAATCTATCATTAACTTTATATTTTTATATTTATATTTATCCTACATAATTTAAAAAAAATAATAGTGATTAAATTTCATCATTTTTATATTTTGGTGAAGAAGCTTTGTGAGTCGTATAAAAGGGTCATAAAAATTATTCAAAATTTATAGGTTAAATTTTTATATATATTTAAAGTATTTATTTATTATTTATTAACCAATTATTTTGAAAATGATTTAAATGGCAAAATAACTTAAAAAAGTATTCTAATGGATATATTGAAGCATCTGTAAATAAAATATATAATCGAGTATTGTGATTGATTTCCATATGTAAAAGTCTTGGGAATTACAATCTCCCCTCCTTAAAAAAATATCGTCCTCGATATTTCGTTGCTTGCAACTTAGCTAGTGAACAAATATGAGTATAAATATCTCATCTAAGGCTCTTTCTCTCAAGTTGATTCATTTAGGGTGTCCATTAGTCATCTCATGCTCTTAGAAATCCATACGATCTCAACAACAACACTCTCAAACCTACATAATCATATATAACAACTCAAATGATGCTAATGCATGCATAAAAAATACTCGATCACATAATATCTTAAACAACCCAATTCTATTAACTATCTCATAATCAATCCCACGGCTTTGTACTTAATCAATTCCTCCAAACATTATTGCACTGATACCAATTTAATATGTTACCGCCCGACTTGATATAACCATATAAACTAATAGATTATATCAAGTCGAGTACACAACATATTATTTAGCCCAAGTTCAATGAAATTTTCTTTTATTTTTTATCTCTCAGTACACAGAGTCACTGAGTCACTGATAATAGTACAAAAATATAACTAAATATCATCATAATTTTACTTTCTTTATATACATAAAACTATTTACATCCAAAATATTTATATATATTGATCATGATTTTCTAATAATCTCAACAAAGTATATAAAATTATCATGATCACAAAATACATATATAAAACATGTCTATACGAGCAAGTACTAGCAACTCAGTCTACTAAATCCCCAAAAAAAGAGCTTCTTCTCTCTCTCTCTCTCTCTCTCTCTCTCTCTTATTTTTTTTCCCTTACAGTTTGGGAAAGGAAATGCCATGGGAAGATTTTGGATAAAGCCACTTAAATGGATTTTATATAAAAAAAAGGGCAAAGGACATATATGTCATTATCCTATTTGTTTGGATTCAATTGCAAAGTTCATATAAAGCCATCTCTGTCTTGAAATTAAGAACTCCAAAATTTATGGAAAAGCAGTCATGCTTAGGACACTCTGGTGAAAAACATTTAAAAAAATGGATGCCAAATAGCTCTATAAATAACTTTATGTCAACAATTGTTACAATGGTATTTTATGTTTATATTTATCATAAAAATATGAAAAAATTATAGTAATTAAATTTCATCATTTTCTATATTTTGAAGAAGAAATTTGTCAATCGGGCTTATAACAAAGTCATAAAAATTACTCAAAGTTTATAAATCAAATCTTTTTATATATATATTTTTACTATTTATTTATTATTTATCAACAAATTATTTTGAAAAATGATTTAAAGACCAAAATAACATAAAATTGCATTATAATGGATATATTGAAGCATCTATAAATAAAAATATATACTTGAGTATTGTAGTTGATTCCCATATGTAAAAGTCTTGAGTATTACAATATATCTTTCGAACTAAGTGATAAGGGTCAAATTACAATGGTCTTGTTTAGTTGGTTCTCTAACCAAATGACCAAGTGCTTGAGTCCAACTCTTGGACAAATGATGAGTGGTCGAGTGGCAAAGGCCAAATGACGAGGGTCAAGTGGCGAGGGTCGAGTTTATTAGATTCTCAGGATAATCTCAGTCTCTTAAACCACGAAAGATGATTTTTGTTATACATGTTATTTCCTCCATGCTCTTATCTCTTTGAAAGTCAACTAGGAAAAGAATAAGAGGTGGATAAATATGAAAGTAACATTATTCGTGTTATGAGAAGTGCATGTTTCTCTGGTCTAGAAAATGAATTTATTAGATGTGTTGTTCTCTCTAAATACAAGTTAAAAATTCATGCAAGTAAAAATGAGTGGTGTATCATCTTCCTGAGGCTCTTAGCTCATCTACATGGAATCATCCTAGGTTCACTTTGGCTAGAACTATAATATTATGTTCTGGGGGCATTTTAGCTCACATTCAGAGACTAGTCTTATGGATTGCTAACCCATCCTTATTACAATTAACTCTTTCTTATAGGGAGAGTTTCCCGAGTGTTACCAAGGAAAGAAATTTCTTCTTTTTGTACCACTATATTGGCCATTTTCTTTTAATATGACTCAATTATAAAAAAAAAAATATGGTAGTTTCTTTAAATTTAAAATATCCTTCACCTAGAGGCCATAACACCTATAAGGAGTAGTCGTTGTAATTTTACAACTTTAATTGGACCGAGATCTCATTGTATTCAACCCTAGTTTAACTAACTTCATTCTTTATTTGATCGAATAATATTTGGAAAAGAGCTTCTCCAAAGTATTCTTTAAAATTCAGCTATTGAGCTGAGTAGGGTCCAAAAATTTATGTCATTTCCTTTTACTCTTTGAAAATTACTTGCTTGTGAGGGGCAAGTTCCCCGACTGTTAGTGACAAACTCTTTTTACATGATAAGTAATATACACATTGAAGAAATTAACAAAATATCAACACAATTAAATGAAACAAAAATAAGAAAAAAAGTTATGAGAGGTTTTCTGTCTTGTTAAGAGATTTTTCATATTGCTTGACATCACTCTATCGTGGCTCATCTTTTCTTAGACAAGATGGTTTCACTAAAGTGTTTTTGCGAGAACTTTCTTTGGAGAGTTGTTTTTCTAGCCGAATGCATACAACCTAATATAGGAGGCTGAGTGACAAGAGCCGACTAACAGAGGCTAACTGATGAATGTTCTCTTGGACGAGTTCCATACTGTTTTACTTGTTGCTAGTCACTTCTATATCACTCAATTATGTTCTTTGTACAACTTATCTCCCTTTTTGTGGCATGATTCATGCTCAGCATACTTTTTACGGTGTGAAAACTAGATTTAATGTGAATCAAACCCAAAAAATAAAACATAAAGGATAGGAGAGGAGAGTGAGCAATAGCGAAGGGAGAAAGGGAAGAGTGAGCCTAAAGAGGAGACAAAGGGAAGGAGTGGAGATACAATGAGAAAGTGTTGTATTAACTATTTTGATGGCAGTTCTGCAATGGAGGAAGAAGACTCTTTTTCCATTCACTCTCCTCATTTCATATAAGGGAATTTTAATATAAAATATACATCAGTAATTACATTTAGATCTCTATGCATTTCTGGTAATTTTCTTTCTTATAGAGACGTAAATATAGAAGATGTTAATCTCTAACACATTTACCTTTGTTGACCCCACATTTCGTATTCTATTATCTGCGCACTTCATATGATCACATCTATCCTGAGCCAAGTGGCGAGGGCCGAGCTCAACATTTTCTCTGATCAAATGACGAGTGACCGAGCGGCAAGGGCCGAGTTCACCACGTTCTCAGGACAATCTCAGCGACTTAAATTGTGAATGATAATTCGTCTACTTAAATAATCCCAATTTAATTAATATTTAACAAAACTATTTTATAACATAAATTTAATACGACTAAGATTCTCAATACAAAGAGTTGTTTTATTTTAACTTAATTATTTAAATTTTTTGTATTTTCTATTATCATTGCCTTCTTAAATTACCTCGAGATGAGAAAATTATTATTATATTAACTTAAATAAAAAAAAATTAACATCTGCAATCAAGCTAACTTAATTTATTTTTTTTTTTTGAAATAAATATTTAATAAAATAATAAGCACATATTAACGTAGTAATAACTCTAGCTACTTAAACGCATTAATAAAATATAAAATGTTCGTTAAATAAGCGAATAGGTGCGGTCACGTTGAGGAATCATGAAAGAATAAATGAAGCAAATACAATAATATTAAAATAAATAATGTCATGGGAGCCTACAAAACTTTTAATGTTACATTAAGGAATCATTAAAATCATATACGATACTTATTTATAGAGGCGTAAACGAGCCGAACACGAGCCAGTCTTGGCTCAGGTCGTGTTCAGCTCGTTAAGAAGTACCACCGTTCATGTTCTTTTCGTTTATATTTCGAATAAAAAAAAATATTCATGTTTGGCTCCCTTGCTTAGCGAGCCGAACACGAGTTGTTCGTGAACGGAGTAGTTCTGACAACTCTAGTAATGCAACCATAGGATGTTAAAGATTTGGGCGGTATTTTAAATTTTATTAAGACATCATTTAAATATAATTTAATATATTTTAATTCTATTTTTTAATTAATAATTATAATTGATTATAAATTTTTTCTAGCCTTATAGTGAATTAAAATTTTTAAAAATGATACTTATTAATTATATAAATATTTATATAATTATTTCGAGCTAAAATGAGCAATGTGTTCGACACGTTTATATATCAAGCGCAAAATATTCTTCGTATTCGATTCGTTCATTTGACTCATTAACTTAATAAACGAATCAAACATAAGCTTCTTAATCAGCGGAACATGCGCTCTATTTTGACAACCCTACCTATTTCACCATAAAAAAAAAATAATTGTTATATTATTATTATTTTGCAATACTGACATTTTCTTTAATTTTTAATTTATAATTTAAGGAGCAGCTTCTTGTTCAGATTTTATCCAACCCACCCACTTCACTCTCCGCCGTTACAGAACTCACCAGTTCCCCAATAGCGCGCACACTGCTCCCTCAACTTCAGCATACTCTCTCCGTCGCGCCGCCGAGGGAAACTGAGGGCCGGCGACGGATCTATTGATCGCTCTTCTCAGTTGTTTCGACGGGCGCCATTGCGTTCATTCCTCTTCAGTCTCGGCATTTGGTGAGGCGCGGGGTCTTTATCTCTTGTGTTGAGATCTGGTAGTCTGATCTAATCCTGCGAGAGGATCCGTTGTGAACCAACAGTTTTGGTGACCAGGTTAGCTTGCGGTGCTTAGATCTTTATGTTTTGGATGAAGCATTGTTTGGATCTTTTGTTTTTTAGAATACATTTAATAGATTCATGGAATTGGCTGCTTGGATCTTCTTTGTTTGAGCATTTTACAATAGTTTGGTGTGAGCAGGAAGAGAAATTGAGAGGGGAGGAGTGAGGAGGAGATGGTGAAAGAGGTGGGTAGGTGGGGGATGAAATTTGTTTATTTAATAAGCTTAAATCCTGTTTAAAACCGGTTACCAAACAGCCACTTAATCTGGAGCTTACTGCTGCACCCACCCTCCACTTTTGATAAGTTAAGCTTCATTTGGTCATTGAAAGACTTTCTACTTTTGACAAGGTTTTATTTTGCAGAGAATGATTGGATTGAAGTGGCACGGATTAATTTTGCTGGGCTAACCTGATGATTTTGAGTAATATTATTTAGAAAAGTTTAGAAAAGTTTTAAAAATTGCAGGAGGTTTTCTTTTTCCGATTGCACTTCTCAAAACTTAAAAAAAAAACAAACACACACACGCACACACAATTAGTTTTACATGTTTGTAATTTTATTTAGGTGTTTCTTGTTTTGCATCTTCCTTTAATTGTACAGTCTCTGTTCATATTTCCTTTACTGTTTATCATTTGTTTTTTTTGTCTTTTCTAGACATTTTGATTTAGGATGCCTTAAATGCATATTTATTACGTGATGTGAAGAAGTCATGCAACAAGCACCTAAAATTTGCAGGTCAGAAACTCAACAGCTATTCCTTTTCTTCAATGAATGTAGAAATACTATAAATTTCAATGAAAGTTGAAATCCATGCAAACACTTTGAATGCGTGCGCTTATTTGAAAATCAGATTATAAAAAAGTTGCTCACTTGATCAAGGAATTGAATGAAGGAAATAGAAGGAATTGCACATCTAATTAAAAATTTTATTAAACCCATCCGTTTTCTTTTGTACATGCTTTGGAATTCATATATAATCACCAAGTCCTTGAAAATTCCCTTTTTCATTGATCACAAAATAATAAAAGAATTGCATACAAATGTTGCATATAAGCACTATAACTTCTGACAGCAGATGAAGAAATTTAGCCACTCAATGGTAACCTCAAATTATGGCAATAGAATACAGCTTAAGGCGATAATAGGTAGCCATTAAATTTTGATGGAGGAGGATATTCTTAATAGGAACCTACAATTGTCGGGATAAGGGATCGAATGTGAACTCCTTTGGAAGGAGATGTTTAGTGCCACTATAAAACCACCAAACATAGAAATCTTAGGATTTCTAGAAGGCTATAGTGATTGAGAATCGATGTGGGGATAAAATTATCTTATCATATGATTTTATCGTGAGCTTGTACGTGCAAACTCTTTCCAAAATTCACAATTCCTATTCAAATTTAATATAAAATAACACAAAACAACTAAAAATAATCAAATTAGAAGTTCACCTTTTGGGTTGTTTGTCTTAACAAACCTTTTTTTTTCTTTTTCTCTGAGTATAGACTTTGAGATTCACAACACTTGTTTGTATTATGCAATATTTTTATGTTTTCAAAAATAATATTGATTTTTCTTTATTCTTGACTTCTTTCACTTAAGTACTTTGTTATTGAAGAGTATTATTATTGTTGGTTATATTAAATTCATTTGAACCATAGCACGATCCATTGATTTATGTTCCTGCGAAACAGTTGTGTTTTTCAGCGTAATATTGGTGACATAGGGAATGCAGGTTGCTATTTTTAATTCGAGTTGTTCGAAGTGAAGCATGATGGGGGGCTCAAGGTTTCCTTCACATCAACTCAGCAATGGCCTCTATGTTTCGGGGCGGCCAGAGCAGCCAAAGGAGAAAGCTCCAACCATGTTTTCCGCAGCCATGCCATACACTGGTGGAGATATCAAGAAATCTGGAGAACTTGGAAAGATGTTTGAAGTCCCTTTTGAAAACACAAGATCCAGGAAATCTGGACCTGTCACTAATGCTCCCTCAAGGACTGGTTCATTTGGAGGTTCAAACATATCTCTCTGATGCCTCTTATGACTTAATAATGCTAGATTTTCCTGCTTGTAATAACTGTGTTTCTCTTCCTATAGTTTCAGGCTCCACAGCCTCATTAATTACTGGAGGTTCAGGTAGGCAGAATTCACACTCTGGACCTCTTAACAGGCCGGGAGAGTCCGTGAAAAGGTTCTCCGGCCCTCAAACTGGAGGAGTTGCGCCTCCATCTCGCCAAAATTCTGGCCCACTTCCCCCTGTGCTTCCAACAACTGGGCTCATCACATCTGGCCCTATATCCTCAGGGCCACTGAATTCTTCCGGTGCTCCCAGGAAAGTCTCAGGTCCTTTGGATCCCGCAGTAGCAGCAAAGCTGCAGAGAACATCCATGGCAAATAACCAAGCTGTAACAAAGCTTGATCAGGAGGACAACTATCCATTCAAGAAAGGTTTTCCCAAGGCCGTCTTGGCATTGGTGATTCTTCTATTTGTGATGGGGTTCATTGCTGGTGGGTTTATTCTTGGAGCTGTTCACAATGCCATTCTTCTGGTTGTTGTTGTGGTTATCTTCACTGTCGTGGCGGCACTTCTCGTTTGGAATCGTTATTGGGGAAGGAGAGCCATTGTGGGGTTCATTGCTCAATATCCTGATGCAGAGCTTAGGACGGCAAAAGATGGTCAGTTTGTCAAGGTCTCTGGGGTACGTTACTAATATAGCTCTGCAAAAGGAGCTTTATCTTTAATTTATAGCAAAATTAAAGTTTTCTTAGTCAAATTAAAATATTCTCAGGATGCCCATGCCCTTGCTTAGTAATTTTACTTTCATAGTAGCGAATCTTATTTATGGCTTTCAGCATTTGAGTTCACCGAAACTATTGTAGGTTGTTACTTGTGGCAATGTCCCTCTTGAGTCGTTATTTCAGAAGGTTCCTAGATGCATATACACATCTACAAGTCTATTTGAATATAGAGGGTGGGATTCAAAGGCTGCTCATTCTCAGCATCGCCGTTTTACCTGGGGTTTACGATCCGCAGAGGTTAGTTAAGTTATGTTTCCATAAAGATTAGTCTTATTCATAAAAGAACCACATATCTATATAGATACATACATATCTGTATATAGATACATACATATCTGTATATAGATACATACATATCTGTATATAGATACATACATATCTGTATATAGATACATACATATCTGTATATAGATACATACATATCTGTATATAGATACATACATATCTGTATATAGATACATACATATCTGTATATACATACATACATATATATATACATACATACATATATATATATACATACATCTATATATATATATATATGTACATGCATATCTATAGATATATACATGTATACGTATGTATATATAGATGGATAGATTGATATAATGTTAAAATAGTCATTTGACCATTTACATGGTGCCATTTTTTTACTCACAGAGTATAGAAATGTCAAATTAGTCCCCATACTCTTTTAATATAGTTTGAACTAATCCCTATGGATGAATGTTTTAGCCCCCATTTAAAGTTTGAGACTATATTGACACTTTTATAGACTGAGATTGAAATGTCCCCCGATAAAAAGTGACAGAACCATGTTGACATATCTCTCTCTCTCTTGCCCTCTCTTTGTATGTATGTATGTATGTATGTATGTATGTATGTATGTATGTATGTATGTATGTATGTATGTATGTATGTATGTATGTATGTATGTATGTATGTATGTATGTATGTATGTATGTATGTATGTATGTATGTATGTATGTATGTATGTATGTATGCATACATACATACATACATACATACATATATATAGATATATGATTTAAATCAATAGAACAATAATTCATTTTTAAATGTTGGGCAGAGACATGTTGTAGACTTCTATATCTCTGATTTCCAGTCTGGATTAAGAGCACTGGTCAAGGCAGGTTATGGCGCAACTGTGACACCATATGTTGATGAGTCAGTGGTGGTGGAAGTGGACACTATCAACAACAAGGAAATATCACCTGAATTTCTTAGGTGGTTGAGAGAGAGGAACCTCTCTAGTGACGGTCGTGTGATGCGTCTGAAAGAAGGGTAATTTCATATTTTTCTTCTTTTTTAAATACCTGAACTTCTATTCCTAAAATGTGGGAAGATGATTTTTTTCTCACACTTGAAATCTGAAGAAGAAAGCTTATTTTTTTAGGGGTTTTAAACATAATTTTGTTTTATAATGAGGGGTTATTAACATTTTATGGTTTGCAGGTACATTAAGGAGGGTAGCACTGTGAGTGTGATGGGGGTTGTGCGAAGAAATGATAATGTTTTAATGATCGTTCCTCCAACAGAGCCGCTGTCCACAGGTTGCCAGTGGAAGAGATGCATACAACCAGCGAGCATTGAAGGCATTGTTCTTAGATGTGAGGACACTTCAAATATAAATGTTGTTCCAGTTTAACCGCTTTTATTAATCTCCTTTGCTTTTTTTGTATAATCATTTCCAGGAGTTTTTGGTGCTTGGTCTTGGAAGCTTTTTTTTTTTTTTTTTTTTTTTTTTTTTTTTTTGGGTGTTTTGTATAGTTTTTATTATTATTTGTTTTGTTATTTTCTATTTTTGTGGAGTGATCAGACTTTTTTTTTTTTGAAAGATTGTAACAAAGGTAGGTTGGGATGGAGAAACTAATGGTGTTTTATGTTGGATTTGGGTTTGAATATTTAATTTCTTTCATTAATAGTTGCTGAATTTTTATTGAGATGAAATAATTTTGAAGGAGGGATTTGTTTTGATTTATTGTTGTTATTTAGATGCCTTTGAAGTCTATTGGTTGTTTTTCTTGGTGTATTTGCCAAACAAATTAAAATAAATGTTTGTGAAATATAAGTTTTTAGTTATTTATTTGAGATATAGGAAGGGAATGACCCTAGTAAAGGTGTGGCATGATTTTGTATGTATATATATATATATTTATATTTCATTTTGTTTAGATCAAATGTAATGGAAATTCATATATTGGCTATGTGATTAAACCATCACAACCCACATTTAAGCTTAAAGCAAGTGGGTGAAGATAATAATATATCAATGTTTTAATAACCATATATTATTTATTATTGGATTAAATTAATATCCTAAACACTCCAATAGTTTTTTTATTTTTTCTCAAAAATTAACTTTTTAATACAATTACATTTGCTTTTGAATTTTTGCATTACTCTGATTATGATGAAGAATATATTGCGAATCATAAACTGCATGAATTATTTAATTGTGGTAAGAATATAGACTTTGAAAACTACTTGTGTATTGAAGCATAAGAGGTTTGAAGTATATTTGTTGATTAAACCCTCTAGTTATTTGGGATTTATACACATGCATAATACATAATGTGTAATATATATATATATATTTAAATGTAATACCTAAGTTCTAATATTTACTCATTTAATACACTTTTAACATCACATTAAAAATGTCACCACCATTATTCTTTTTTTAAGTTAAATGCTTTTACTTATACATTTATCTAATGTAATTTAGTTCTAAAACATTACAAAAATAAATATTAAAATTTATGTTCAAAGTAAATAAAAAAGAGATGTTTACATAAAAGACTACAAAATTGTAATGTATTTACATATCTAACACAATATCGTGGAGTCATAAGACCTATGCATGAAAAGATCATGAACTTGTTTTTAATCTTTAATTAGCTCTTGGCACAGCCATGAACTTAAATATGGGGCAAGAGTACCATACATTTACTGCATATACCAAACAGAGTTGGCATAAAGTTGTTCGGCTTGTTTTAACTCTATTTGGCTTATTTCAATTGCTTGTGTGATTATATGATTGTCTTTTATTGCATAGAAATGGTGCAGATTTGAATCGAACACCATATATTTATTTTTTAATTAATTTAAATCAACTAATTTAGGGTCGAACACGAACAAGAATATATAAATCAAGTCGAACACAGAGCACACTGTTCACGAGCAATTTCAAACAATATTAATTTCAAACTAGCCGGACACAAGCCAAGCATAAGTTCACTCTAGCTCGGCTCATTTACAACCCAAATAGGCACCACCAAATTCAATAAAATAAAATCCATACCATAACATATGAAAGCTATCATCATTGTTACCTAGAAATTTATCCACTAGCAAATTTCATTGCTTTACACATCACTTGAAACAGGAAACTCTATCAATTAGTTGAAGGCCAATACCATCTAGTTGCCTAACATGAATTGAGAAACGAATGGAGTCTATATAAATTTATGGGGGTATTTACACACATACCACGCAATTCCTATGTATTTACATACCTAACACCCAAAATTTACACGTTCTCCAGGTGTTGGGTAAGTAAATGCATAGCAAACAAGTGGTATGCATGTAAATCTTAAAATTCCGCGAAACAGATTGACCATAGAAGTGGAAGACATCAGTGAGAAGTTCACAACCAAAAATACAAATGAAAATATAAAATTATTGAAATGAACATAAAGTAGGAAGAAAATTGAATAACAAAAATTAATACCAGATAAAATGAAATATTCTGAACAGTTATCAGTGATCATGTATCTACATGGAATCAAGAAGATCTTTCATTTCTCCAACAGAAAGAATAACTTCATTTGGGTATATCTTGCCAACTAGTTGAACGAAGCTTTCATACTTGTCCAGGAACTCTTTCTGCAGTGTTAGGAAATTACATCAGTAGTTAGAAATAAGATTTCGCGAGCTTAATATCTTTGAATCCAATCACTTGCAATTGCATACAGATAATTACTAGGTTTCCGGAAAGTAAGTGATGAGCGCACAGTTTCCATTTATGTCGAACAGTCTCTTCTAAATGCATATGCAAGACATGAAAGGCCGAGCAAGAAAAATAGCGGAATGCCAGGTCACTAAACATCTCAGCTAAAAAGGTGCTGAGTTTAATAAAATGATAGATTCATTAATATCTGAGTGAGGAATGCTTAATTCTGTTAGCATTAATAACCAAAAAGATAGTTGGAAGATTCACACATACCATTCAATTCCTATGTATTAACACAACACCTAAACATTAATTTTTACATATATGCCCCCTTACCTATGCATGAAAAGGTGTATTTCACTTTTAAAAGTTAAAATAGTGGTATTTTTTTATGTGATATGATATCAAAGATTTGGGTGATAAAAATATTAAAAGCAAAGTTGGAGTGTTAGATATGTAGATACATGGGAATTGGGTGGTTATATATGTAAATGCCCCAAAATAATACAATCCCCATTTCCTGAATTTATGTTCTCATAGTTAAAAACTGCAACTATAGAAGAAAATATCACATCCTGGTTAATCGAGAGGGATATGGACATGGCTCCAGTCATACTTTTCATCAGCTGAGCAAAAAATATTTTATATAGGACAAGGCCGGCCGATTCAATTTATTATTATTATTTAATTTTAGTTATTACAATCTTTCATAAAAAAATTTCTTCCTCGAAAATTGCAAAACTTTAATCTAATAGCACATACCTGCGGGCTCCAAAAATTCACAACTCTACTCAAGAACTCTCTGCATTTGTTTTTACTTTTTTTTTTTTTTGAGATTTGATTTGTAAATAAGACACTCAGAGATTTCGCCCTCATTTTGCGAGGACTTGTTTTAATGGGGCTTTGAGATTTGCCATAGATGCAAGTCCCTCTGGTTAATTATCCCTCATAATAACGAGAGAACATTTTTTATTAAGGCTAGTCATTAAAAATTGAATATTCAACATATAATAACAACAGAGTTAGAATTTAAGTTGTAAAATTTATCACTTGAAGCTTAAAGTGTATGAGGGAAAAAAGAAATCCACATCAAGATCTCATGGTTTCATCATCTCGCGTCGTCGTGGTCTCTGATTTACTTAGTCAGTTGAGGTAGTCAACCCAACTTGACAGATAAATCCTTGTTAACAACCATGAGTTGTGTCGTCCAATATATCCTTGTAGATCTGGGGTGGATATTTGTCTAAGGGGACAGAGTTAGGTAGACCTTAGTTAATAAGTCTTTTTGTCAATCAACTGTACCCTTATGATTCATAACTCAAAGGGTAAAAAACCGTTAGAGACATAAAGGCTGCGGCTGTGATCGTAATATAATGATGTCATTTGACGTCAACCACCTGGACAGAGGGTTCTGATCGTAATTGCTACTTTGTGGAGCCTTTGAGCTAAACTACACGGATAAATGACTCCGACCATATCCTTTCTGAAATTCAATTACTTTGATTGTAAATATATTGATACATTTGATATAACATTTGCTCTTTATGAGCTGAAATCAATAAGAAGTTTACCACCCTCGACAAACAGTTGCGGAGGGTGGATGAAATTTGCTTTTAACTTTTAGTGATTGAATTTCAACTTCAATTTTATTTGATAATTTTGAAGATTTTGATTTAAAAGTTTGACCCCTCTAAATAAACTGTTGCGGAGGGTGGATGAAATTTGCTTTTAACTTTTAGTGATTGAATTTCAACTTCAATTTTAGTTGATAATTTTGAAGATTCTGATTTAAAAGTTTGACCCCTCTGGTTGAAATCTTAGATCAACACAATGATCAATGGGGAATTAGACATTTAAAATATTTATATTTAAAGTGGGTCATTTAATTTTGTCAGTTTAAATTTTTAGGGTATATGCCAGTCACTCTTATCCTTACAAGACGAAAGATCGGACTAGTTTGGTAATTTGGACTTGTAAATTTATATTTCAAGATTTGGACAATTATTAGAGCTTACTAGACTCATCAACTCCATTCCTTATGAAAAAGATCAGACTAGCGGTATGGAATTTACAACCCTATCCTATAGATAAGGCGACGACCCGATTAGCCCCCGCAACATTCTCAAACATATTATTTGAATATTTTATATGTTAGTTGAAGCACATGCAGACTTTTGAAAATGTGTAATTGATTTGTTCATATAACCACCTTAAAGCATACAAAGCTAAAGAGTATCTCAAGTGGTACTCATCTAAACCTTAAAAGTGTGGCTCATATTTCAAGATGTTGCATTTAACTTAAGAGACAACCACAAAGCTTATAAAATTTTTTTAAGTTATTTGGAGCTTAAAACATTTGCATAACTATTATGATTTTAGGCTTTAAAAGAAAATCGCCTTATTTTCGCTAGCATGTGTATTATGAATCTGGTAGCGGTATTTTAATATTTTAAAATGCTTCATATTTGAACTATTTTTCGTCCCCTAGAAGCCTAAATCCGAATTTACTAGCTTAATTTTAAAGTATTTTCAGATTGACAAGCCCAAAACTTTATACCAAGAAAGTTTATAATCCAAATTTAAATATTTTAAACCATGAAAATTTATATTTTAAAAGGTCAGAACTTCAAAAATTTTAAAATCTCGAACCTAAATTTTTAAAAGCTCAGGTCCTCAGTATTTTAAAACCCTAAGAGCATAAATTTTGAAAGCTCGACTCCAAATTATTTTAAAGTTTACAGCGGTTATATTTGATTTTATTTTATAAGTTCATGATTTCAAATATTTTAAAGTGATTATAAGTTCAAACCACCAAAAATTTTGGCAACCTCCCAGCATCAACCCCTATTAGAGGACACGGGAGAACGCCAGCCTACCCAGCTATCTTAAAAGAATTGTTGGTTAATGTCGTAACACACTGTGGTTGGGGAAAAAAAAATAATTAACTTGCAATCTCAAAAGATGCGACGGGCATTCATCATACCTGTAGAAAATGTTAGGTTATAAATTAACATCCTCATTTCAGTAGCCTCCCAGCATCAACCCCAACCAGGGTACATAGGAGAATGCCAGCCTTCCTAACTATCTCAAAAGAATCATTGGTCAATGTCGCAAGACTCTGCGGTCGGGGAACAAGAGAACATTCAACCAGCGATCACAAAAGATGTGACGGGCCTTAAATGCATCTGCTAAAAATGTTAGGTTACAAATAAACATTCACCATTTTAAAAATAAATCTCCAGACGAGTTTGTGATTTCTCCGCTTAACAGGTACTGTGCTCTCCTCAAATGAAGGTTTTTAAAAAGTTTTCCAATTGTTCCACCTTTATACCTTTTCGAGCTCCAATGGCGTTGACTACGACGATCCCTGACAACAGTGATTGATGACAATAAAATAAAAGTATAGCACATTTTTTTTATATCTAATACACAACATAAAACATAAACAATAAATAGGAAGATGGGTTTGCGGTGGGCTTAGTATTTGATGCTCCAATATGAAAGTTGTTCAAGCTGTTTGGCAGCAGGATTGAAGTAGGATTTAACCTAAATCCTTCAAACATATGTCTTCATGGTTTTAGGTAGAAGCGATGCCGAAGAAGAAGAAAGATGGGAGTTTGGGGTCCTTGTACCACGATCTCGCCATTGCCTTTCCACTTAGCTCTAATTGCAGTTGTATCGTAAGGGATTCGGGTAGAAGAAGAGCATGCAAAGGTTACCGGGAGGAGATATGGAGGTTTCAAGCCTCTGTTCGCCGACATTCTCGTCGTTGCTTGAGGCTAGAAGTTTCGAAGACCTTTGTGAGCCGCAATTTTTCTGTTGCTTCCCTTACCAGACCTTTCGGAAGAGGGAAGATCAAAATGTCGAAGGCCTTTGTATGTTGCGACGCCTTTGTTGCCTCCCCACTTAACCTAATCTTGAATGTATCGAGAAGGAAATGGCGCAAGAAGAGTAAGGAAATGGGGAGTTTCGAATGTCTTTTTTGCATATCAGGAGTTTTCCCACAATAAGCATCCCTCTCTGATCCGTGCTTAATCTTTAAAAATGGAATCTCCCTGTTACAAAGATTCTTTACATCATAGTCCAGTATTCTTTTAGGTTCCTCAATATAAGTTAGATCAGACTATACCAATCGAGCCTGCTAACACCCTAATGGATTCATTAGCAATATACATCCTAAGTGAAGAAATATGAAAATAATTATGCACCCCTTGCATATGAGATGATAAAACCGCTCTGTAAGACACCCTTCCAATTCTATCCATAATCATATATGGACCTACATAACTGGGACTTAATTTCCCCGTTTTTCCAAATCTTTGACACCTTTCAAAGGACAAACTTTGCTAAAGACAATCTCCAACTTCAAACTCAACATGTCTATGCTTGGTATCATAACATTTCCTATGTCTATCCTGCACCGCATTTAACCTGTCTCTAATCACTCTAATCTTTTCAGTAGCATCATCAACTAAGTCAGCTCCACTGACCTGTTTTTCAACAACCCAACATAAAAGTGTTTTGCACTTTCTTCTTCAAAAAACTTTATATGGAGTCATTCCAATACTAGTTTGGTAACTGTTAGTGTATATGATTCTTATCCTCCAAAATCAAGAGCACATAACCTTAGTAGAACCTCTAAATTCTGAATAATCATTTATGACTGGTCATCTGTTTGAGGGTGAAAGGTTGTAGTAAAAGTCAATCTGGTGCCCTTCACGAATCTTCTTAGACTATCTGATAGCAAAATCTGTCATCTCTGTCGAAAACAATAAATTTCGACACCATATAATCTCACAATTTGATTCACATATAAATTTGCTAATCTCTCAAATATAATGGGCAAGAAATGGGTAGACTGAGGGCTCGTAACTGCGAAGGCGCGGCGGGGCATGCAGACGCATTTCTGCGCCGTTTGATGCGGCGACGTCAA